TTTTTTTTTTTTTTTTTTTTTGGTACTAGGGTTCGAACTCGGATCCTTGAGCCTTCAAGGCGGGCAGCAGAACCACCGACCTAAATCCCTGGCCACTTGCTTATTGTCTTCATTAATGCAATAGAAAGTTTAAAGGTGATTAGAGGTGACTACAGTCTAAACCCAAAGACAACATATAAGTATGTTGTTGGAGATACAGACATTAACTTCAGGGCTTAAAGAAGTGGTGCATGCTAAATCCCCCAACTATGCTTGCCCCTATTTTCTTCCTGGATAGTACAGTCATTCATGCCAGACCCCCTGTTAGTACTGTAGGGTAGCTATGATGGGGTGCCCCTGGCATTATGACTATAGAAAGGAGACGAGGTAGGCTTGATGCAAACAGTCAGCAGGGGAGACTGACTGCTGAAGTGCTGTACAGTGGTTTGATTTCAGAGAAGGGGAGTGGACTCTATCATACATAGCCTGTTCCTCCACCGTGGACAGTCGCCTGCAATGTACAATCTGTCATGGTACTTTGGAGTCTAAGAAGAAAATGCACATCAGCAATAGCAGTTCGTAAGTGATTTTTATTTTAAGTCTTATATTTCAGACCTACGAGTTATGAGGGCAGCCCTTGAAACAGTCCCAACAAAAGAAGACCTGGAGAAGAATATCGAGATCCTACTCACAGAGACAGACACACTGCAGCTTTTTGAGCTACCCACCGTCATGGTCTCTGTAGAATCTGAAGAAGCTGAGAAAGTAACGTATGTATATTTCAGTTGTCTATGTCGCTTCTGCAGTGTGGGTGATAAATCAGCAATATTTTGTTCCTCTGATGGGTTCTTGGGGGTTTCGGGGTGTACTGATAGTGGTGTGTGTGCCTTATGAAATCATGCTTGAATCTTATGAGGCCTGGCAAATTATGTGGAAAGTGTTCATACCGTATGTAAATTTCCCTAGAGGAAAACCCCATAGTTGTACTGTATTCTTTAATACTGAGGCACACCTTTGAAGGGGAGCAGGGAGGTGTAGGTTAAGCAGATATGGGGTTACTGTAAGATAGGAGGACTGAATTCTGGTATTAGCTAAAAGAGAATTTTTAATGCTTTCACTACAAAGAATAAATGTGTGAGGTGACAGATAACTCCACTTACACTGGTGAAAACGATACACATATCTGAACACCACATTGTACAACATAAACATATTAGTACAATAATAAATATAAGGCAAATACTATTTTAATGCATTTTGTTTTGTTTTGTTTTGTTTTTTTGGTACCGGGGATTGAACTTGGGTCCTTGCGCTTGCAAGGCAGGCCACCGAACCGCTGAGATAAATCCCCAGCCCCAGTGCATTTTAAATTATTTTTAATTTTAAAGGAAAGATTTCTTTTCAATACTGGGAATCAAACTCAGCACCAAGCGCTGGCCAGACAGATATGGCACCACTGAGCGACATCCCCGGCCCTGATTTTTTTTTTAAGACTTACAGGAAAATGTGTTATAGGAAAATAAAAGAATTGACTGTTGGAGCAGATTTTTAAATTTCTCTTTATTATGAGTGTAGATAGACTCTGAGTTCTTGTCTGATGTATTTTGGCATTCTGTTTCTCCGGGCAAGCACATTAAATATTGTCTCGTATTCTTGAAGAAATGGCTCCTTTGTCATTTTGGAATGTCGCTATCACCGGTAGTTTTTCTTCCTCTGAAGTCTGCTTTGTCTGAAATTAATACAGTTATTATAAATAATAGTCATTCATATTATTTCATGCCAAATATCATTTGAATATAATTTGTAGTACCAAAATATCCATCACTAAAATAATTTATGGGTATTATCCCTGCCCGAAATATAAAATATTGTGTAGTAGGCCAGGCATGTTAGCATACTCCTATAACTCCAGCTACTTGGGAGGCTGAAACAGGAGGATTGTAAGTTCAAGGCCAGCCTGGGCAACTTAGACTCTAACTCAAAAAAATTTAAAAAAAATTTTTTGGTACTGGGGACCGAACTCAGGCCCTTGTGTTTGAGAGGCAGGCGGTGGAACCACTGAGCCAAATCCCCAGCCCTCTAACTCAAAATTTTTAAAAAGCCTGGGGATATAGCTCAGTGGCAGAGTGTGGCTGGGTTCAGTACCCAGTATTGAATGGAAAAAATATTATAAAATTATTTGGGCTGTAAAAATAGTGCCACTGGCATCTGAATTACCTACATTCACAGCCTATAAGAAGTGAGGGAATGTTCCCAGAGCCCCGCAAAAGAGAAAAGGGGCTGGGGATGTAGTTTGGTGGTACAGTGCCTTAGCACATGTGAGGCCCTGGGTCCAATTGTCAGCAACCAAAAAAGAAAATTTTAGGTCAGGCCTAGTGGTGCATGCCAGTTATTCCAACTCACTTGAGCCCAAGAGTGCAAGGCAGACTTGGTCAACTTCCATATCCCAGTTCCCCCAAATGTCCAGAGGTTAGTAGGGGCTCCCGGCTGCTCTCAAAAGTCTCTGGGGGAAGGGATACCCAGTTTAAGTTCTTACAGTTCCCTCAGGTTGGTTGAAATACACCAAACTAATTTTTAAAAAATCATTATGAATAAGAATTAACAGAAATAACAAACTCTAGATCTAGACCCTGAGTTATTATCAGGTATAGAATACAGAACATTTGTGAAATGTTTAAACAAATACAACACAAAACACCATTAGCATTAAGAAACTATCAAGTTGATGACTCATGTTGGATAAAGAATTTTAAAGTATGTTTGTGTAACTGTTTAAAAAGCAAACACTGAGCCAGGTGTGGTGGCTCACGCCTGTAATCCCAGCACTCGGGAGGCTGAGGCAGAATGATCGCTGTGAGTTCAAGACCAGCCTGGGCTACATAGTAAGTTCCAGGTCAATCTCAACTACGTAGTGAGACCTTGTCTCAAAAAAAAAAAAAAAAAAAAAAAAAAAAAAAAACAACAACCAACAAAAAAAACCCCACACCAAAAATAAATAAATAAACAAATAAAAAGCAAACACTAGTTTGAATATTATGTTAGGCAACTATGAATAGAGATTTAGTAAATTAGAAAATAGAGGTGGATAAATTATAAAAAATGAATCTTGAAGAGACAATGTTTTATAGAGTATGAGACAGTTTAAAAGCATGTTTACAAAAGAATAATTTCAAAAGGGCAGAGTAGAAAAAGGGAGGAGAGGTACTATACAAGAGAGAGAGCAAGAGGGAGGGAGAGAGAAAGAGGATTTTCCAAGACTTTTGGGAGACATTCCACAGGAGGAATAAATAAAATTCCACAAACGTGGACTCAGTGCGTAGTACTGGCACTACAGAACAGCATCTATTAGGAAAACACTTTCAAAATGCAGAAAGAAAATATCATCTGCAGAAAAACAAACTGAGAGCATTATCTCTTTTTAGAGGCGAAAGTCACCTCATAATCATAAAAAGGTATAATAAATCTATACTGAAATAATCCCTATAAAATAATATTAAACACAGGTGAAATTAAAAACATAGTCAATATTTGTGTAACTAAAAAATTAAAATATATTAATTATTCAACAGGCCAACTGGGAAACAAATTAGTGTGTGTGTGTGTGTGTGTGTGTGTGTGTGTGTGTGTGTAACTTGAATAAAAGTCATAATGTGTATGAATTTGAGAAAAAATTTAATGTTCATATTCATATCCCTGCACTTAAGAATTAGAACACATTCTCTTCAAGCATACATGGAGCTGGGGATTTGGCTCAGTGGTTCCGTCACCTTCCTCGCAAGTGCAAGGGCCCGAGTTCAGTCCCTGGTACCACACACACACACACACACACACACACACACACACACACAAAAGCATACACGGAAAATGTACGAAAATCATCTTTGCATAAGGCCATGAAGCAAGGTTTCAAAATTTTCAAAGACAAATCATACAAACTAAATTCTCTGGCCACAATGCAGGGAAGTTAAAAATAACAAATCTCAATTAAGACACACATTCATGTACACATTTGGAAGCTACAAAGTACATTTTAAGAATTACTCATAAAAGGGGCTGAGGATTTAGCTCAGCGGTTCGGTGGCCTGCCATGCAAGCGCAAGGACCCAAGTTCAATCCCCGGTACCAAAAAAAAAGAAAAAAATTACTCATAAAGACTGGGTGTGGTGGTGCACACCTGTAATCCCAGCACTCAGGAGGCTGAGGCAGGAGGATCACTGAGAGTTTGAAGCCAGCCTAGGTTACCTAGCAAGCTCTTTCCAAAAATAATAAATAAATAAATAAAATTCTTCGTAGATCAAAGAAGAAAGAAATCATACAAATTTCTAAAAATACTCAGAACTAACCAACATGATAATGTACTAAAAGCACTCAGAGTTAACCAGTTGTGATAATAATTTATACTTATCAGATGACACAAACTAGTATTTTGAAAGAATCTATAACTTTAAATGTATATTTTGAAGTTCCTGATGAGTTTATAGCTCAGGGTCACAGTGCCTGCCTGGCAAATGCAAAGTACTGAGTTTGATCCCTGGTACCAAAAAAAGAAAAAAGTTTGAAAAACTACGTAGCTGGTGCTACTGTATCTACTACTATAGTAGATGCCAACAGTACACATCAGGAAGGTATGGTATAAAAAGTCCTTCAGATGTAATGTAATCTTTTCCTAAGGATTTTTTTTCAAACTCTCACTTCACATTTTGGTACAATCATATCAAGGATAGTAGTTTTTTAAAAAGGGGTAATCTAAAGCGATGATATGTATAGTACTCGTTAAGTTTCATTGATGAGTTGTTCTACTTCATTTTCTATAGCCAGAGAAATAAGAAATATGAAATCCTTTGTAAAAATAGATTAGGCAACGATTTGTATGTTGAACGGATGATGCAGACTTTTAATGGAGCACCAAAAAATAAAGATGTGCAGTGTGATAAAATCATAATGGAAGATGAAGGTAATCTGTTTCATTCTCCTTGCTAAACTTCCATGTTGCAGATGTGTCCTTTTGAGTCTCTTAGTCAGTAAAGAAATGCTGAAATACATAGAGCAGAAATAGAGACAATGGCCAGATCACAGTAGTGGCTAAATTCTGTTTTCTGTTGCTTTCAGAATTTGACATCTAAGTTAACAAGTAATAAAGACACAGATCTCAGTCATGGTATATGAACTTTGGTTCTTGTGTATACTATATCATAGATCCCTGTATCTTTGTTCATGAAAAATTTATAGAAACTGATAAAGTCACAAAGAATATCTACCATAAGTAACATTTTAAATGAGCGAGACACTGTTCTAGGTCCTTCACATATATTAGCCGATTTAATTTTAACAACCCTGTGAGGTATATCATATTGCTATTCTCCATCGTATCGATAAGGAAATGAGGAAAGAGAAGGTAGCTGACTTACTCCTGCCTTGGAACCTGTGCCATAAACCTCATTGCACTTATTTTTTCTCGATGTTCATGAGACTACAGCCTTGAGAACTCTTAACTGACAAAAATCTACCATCTGTGACCAAAGGACTAATAGGAAAGAGGTTATGTATACTCTTGTCTTTATTCCTCAACAAAACTATAAGCAAGTTTAAAAGAAGTAAAATAGATGAATTTCTAGCAAAAAAGTAAACCATTGTTTTTCCATAAAAGAATATAAAGATACCTTGTTGGTGGGCACACTCTTCCATATTCCTGATACTTCCTTTTATGTGGGGAATAGGAATGAGGATGTCCATCTCTCTCTTTATTCTCACTCATTCCTACCTAGAGCAGAGATGCGGCTTACCTGATGAGTGAGTTTGGCCATGAGAAATGAGTGAAATGTGGGCCTGCATGGTGGCTCCCTACTGGAGACCCCTGCAGTGGGTTCTGATCTGCTTGGTGCTATGGTGCATGGTGAGAAGAAAGACACAGAAACAGAGTTCAGGATGCAGCACAGGGAGCCACGGTGACCAGTGCTTGAGTGTTGAGAGGCTTGAGTAAGCAAAGGCCCTGCACACCCAGAGCTGTTGATATTTATTGGTGACATCATAGATTGAGGTAGTGACTACGTGGAGTTGCTATGGATAAGTTGCTAAAGCAGGCAAAGCTTGTGAAAGAAGAAACAAGGCTTCCTTGAACTGGGAACAAAAGCACCAAAATATACATTGTGGTTAATAGTAAAAAAGATTTTAACTCTGGGAACAGGATTTGGGTAAGAGTCACTCACTCTGACCACCTCACGTAGGCTTTGGCCAGACTCACTTCTATAAACAAGATGATTGTGGGGTTCCCTCTTTACAGCCTGCACTGCTTACAGCCTTCTCTGGGCATAACCAATGGGGCGATCTCCCACAATTCCCTTTCTTTCCCTTGCCTGGTAGCAGGCTGGCATCATGAACTAAAAATTCTAGCTGAGGTCTCTGTGCAGAAATTTTAAAGGGCAGGACCAACACGGAAAAGACTGTGATTATCAAGTTATACCTCTAATTCTGAAATTGATGATTAAGGAGTTCATTGTTGCTGCACAACTAAACTATAGAAGCCAGCCTAAACTTCCTTAGTAATACAGGTGAGCACTGAGGATCTGTGTTTTATTCCTTGTTAACATCACAATTGGTAACTTAGATGAGCCCAGAAAAATGAATACTTGGGTGGTATCCAGTAACATTAGGATTTAAAAAAAATAATATGAATACAATAATTAGTAAAGGTTTTAAATATGTTCATTGGATTACTATGTGTGATTTTATGTTACTTGAATTAAAAATAATGAAAGAATAGTTCTTCATGGAACTCAAAATTACCAAAACTGCTCAAGGAATCTTAGAGTTATATAAGATGGTTAAAGAAATGGGAAATTTTTATCAGAGAATCATGCCTGATGAAACTCACATGAAGCCCAGATTATCATAGAGGTTTATTCTGTAAAAGTGAGAGTAATTTATAATATCTCTATAATACCTATCTATAATACCTATATGTATTGGTTAGGGCTCTCCAGAGAAACAGAACCAATCAACAAGATAACATGTATACTATACGATAAAGTAAAATTATTTTATATTGATACAGATAGATAGAGATATAGTCAGCTGCCTCTAACAATATTTGGTCATCAATGGACTGCATATACGCTGTAGTCCCAGGCAATTAGATTGCCTAGTGACGTTGCAGCTAGTTTGTACAACAGTGAAATCACCGAAAGTGCATCTCTGCAAACATATTCTTACTATAAGTGACACGTGACAAAAAAAAAGGAATTCTTTATGTGCTGCTGGCTTATGTGACTGTGGAAGGTGACAAGAAACCATGGTCTTTCCTCTGTAAACTAGAGACCCAGGAAAGCTGCATGGTAGTTTGAAGGCCTGAGAGCCGGGGACCCCAATGGTGTGTGGTCCAGTTTGGGTCTGGAAACCTTAGCACTAGGAGCAATGAGGGCAGAAAGTTCCTTCCTTCCTTCCTTCCTTCCTTCCTTCCTTCCTTCCTTCCTTCCTTCCTTCCTTCCTTGTAGCTTCACGAATTCTTTGCCATTTTTACCCACTTCCTGCCTTTGTTGTAAAAACAACAGTATATATTAAATGAACAAAGATAGTCTTAGATCTTAGTATGACTAGTTTTGTGTAAGCCTAAAATATTAGGATTTGACGTAAAATAATTTTCACCTTTCTTCTGTGTTCAGGCATAATGGCCACTGCCTGGGATCTGTATGATTCTTACAATGCTCTAGAACTTTCATCTTTAGTAGTAAAACAATCTGCAGTTGAATCAAGCAGTAAAGCAAATGTCCTTCCTAAAGAGCGGGACCAGAGACTTCCAGGGATTAGTACGGACAGAAGTAAGATTTCATTATTGCAATTTTCTGAATGATGTTTTCAGGTGACGTTTTAAGTTCTTTTTTGGCAGTGCCAACATTTTCTTTCTCATAGAACATGAAAAGTGCAACTTTTACCCAGAAATCATAGTTTCTTTTCTATATTGTCTCACATTCTCAATTGAAAGTTTCATTTCTGCTTGGACACTTGTCAAGAGCTTTCAAAGATTCTTTCTCTCGCTTCTTCACTTGCTCTTATACTCTCTTTCACGCATGTGAATGTTGTCTTTTCCCTCTCCCTTCCTGTAACAGCCACGTGTTCATTTACAACTTCCCGTTGTAGCAAGCTTTGTTGCTTTGGCAGGAGAAAGTGAGTCGTTCTCTTACCTCCAAGGGGCATTGAAGCCCAGGTGTGTGCCGGGCCTCCTCTGGCACCTGCGGGTGGGGTCTCCTCATCCCGGCTGAGCAGTACATGGCCTCTGGTTTCCTTTTCCAGTTTTGTGTCTGGGAGGAAAGGATTGGTCATTACTAATCCACGTGTGGCCTCCCCTGACACCACAGAAAGGGGGCCAATTTCATACCGCTGGGCAGTGAGGCAGACTCTGATTCTCCTCCAGTCTGATTCCCAGTTCTCCAGTGGGAACAGCTCATCTTTTGAAAATACACTTTTTGATGGTGAAGAATTCCAAAAATTGGGGGCCGGGGATTTAGCTCAGCGGTTCGGTGGCCTGCCTTGCAAGCGCAAGGACTGGAGTTCAATCCCCGGGACCAAAAAAAAAAAAAAACTAACAAGAATTCCAAAAATGTTTATCCTGCATTAGTCTTGTACATAAAGTATTGTAACAAATGTTTCTGGAAGCTGTTGGAAACTAGAAGCAAACAAATAGCAATGACAAAATGTCCTTCTATGTGCTTGCTTCGGCAGCACATATACAAAATGTCCTCTTTTAAATCTTTGGAATTCATGAACCAGGTAGGTGTGGGGGTGCGCACCTGTAATCCTAGGACTTGAGGAGGCTGAGGCAGGAGAATGGTATGTTTAAGTGCAGCCTAGGCAATATACAGATTCAGTGAGACCCTGTATCAAAATAAAGAAATAAAAAAGGGCTGGGGATGTAGCTTAGTGTGAAAACACTAGGTTGAAACCCAAGTGCTGAGAAGCAAACCACAAACTTTGTAATATTATTGGATATTTTATCTTTGCATCATGTTTGTATCTAACAGACAGCGAAGCAAGTTCTCTCATGGATATAGAAAATGTAATTCTGACTAAAGTCCATGAAGATGAAGAAGACCATGCAGATGTAATACTAAAATCTGACAAGTTTCTTCAGGACTTACTTTTCATGGAACAGGTGATAATGGAAAATATATTTCAGCCAAAGCTTGCAGCTTATCGCCAACTTCCTGTTTTAAAAGGTATTTTTAAAAATAATAATTTTGGATAACTTCAAATCATTTAAAAAGTTTAAATGGTATTATTACACATTTTTAAATGTAATCTCCACACTGGGTATCCCTTATTAGAGGACGTGCTTCCCTGTTGACATACATCCACATGTGTCTGTACATCCATGTACGTCTTTGCTAATTTCTTCATCCCCAACTTTCTAATCGTGTTTTTCCTGAGCCCTTGGACATGCAGCCAAATCATGGGTTTAACCGATGAATCAGCTTATAATCACACTTCTGCCTATTTTTCTTTCCAAATAAAATGTACAGCCAGTTGTACCATTTGAAATTCTCCCAGCGGGAGGATTTCCCTTCACTGAGGTCCCATGGAGATGTCCCAGGAAGGGGCCGAGGAGCTGTGACCATCCACCGTCAGGTGGGACCTGCGGCATACTGTGCAGGGCTATCTGTAAGGCCGCCCTGGTCTTCTCTGTAGGACCACAGCAGAGGTTGCAATGAGACATAGATTACAGCTCAGGGAGGCCGAGGGGGCTGCAGCTGGTGGACAGAGTTAGACCGGAGGGAGCCTTGCAGAGAGAATAATTAACGAAAACTGCCATTGAGTCTTTGACTGCAATGTGTGCTGTGCATATTAGGATAAAACTCCACAAAATCAAGCAAAGAGCAACTGCCAGAATGCTGTATAAGGCACAACCCGCAGAGTCCACACCGGATGGGAGATGTGGAATCCTGGCTGGACAGAGAGACCGTGCTGCACACACGAGACCTTCAGGAGACCCAAGGATGCTTGTGCCTTCAGAGTAGGGCTCCACTGCCTGCCTCACAAGCACAAGGACTCGAGTTCGATCCCTGGTACCAAAATAAACAAACAAACAAACATACATAGTAGGGCTGAACTAGCCTGAGAAAAGCCTTGTGTAAACACTCCAAAAACCATAGACTAGCCATAAAATATCACCCTATCCAAAATTAGATTAACTACTTGCTAAAACACATGTCAACACTTTATGAAGGAAGAAAACAGAATCTATACAGTGAACGCTAACGTATACCATTGACAGCATCCCAAAAAATTCACTAGTGATGTGAAGAAGCAGGACACTGTGACCCAGAACTACGAGAAAAGTCAGTCACTAGCAACAGATGGAAAGGCCACCAAGATAGTGGAGAAAGACGATGAGGACTTCTGAGCGTCTGTTCTATCCAGAATACCAACCCTGCACTGAAGGACAACGGAGCTAGAGAACCAAGACCACCTGACTGTGCGACTTCCCAAGCTGCAGCAGTCGAGGTGGTATGGTACCGGTGCGAGAATGGACAAAAATAGATAAACGAGACAGAATAGAAAGCCCAGACGTGGACCACATAAATATAGCCATCTGTTCTTTGACAAAAGAAGAAAAACTGCACAACAGAGGAAATGGAATCTTTTGGATAAATGGTGCTGGAGCAACCAGACATCCATATGCAGAAATGAATCTGTACACAGACCTTCGCCAACATTAACTGAAATGGATCATGGATCTAAAAATGTAAATGCCAAACCATAAAAGAGACCCGTACTGACCTTGGGTATTAGAGTGACTTTTGAACACTGAAGGCACAACCCACTCAAAGGGGTATTGATAGGCTGGACTTCATTAAAATGAAAAGCTTCTGCTTCTCAAGAGATACTGCTGAGAGAATAAGAAAATATTTCCAAAACAGAGCTGAAAAGTGACCCATTATGTGAAATATACAAAAACCTCTTAAAGCACAGCAATAAGAAAGCATTGACTGCCGTTTAAACATGAGTATGAGACTCAAAGTGACACCTCAGGAAAGAAGAGGTACCCTTGGCCGGGGACCACATGAAATGTGTCCCTGGAGATTTGCCACGCAGAGAAAATGCCAATGAGGGACCACTGCACACCGTCAGAGTGGCCAAACACGGAACACGGACACTGCCACGGGCCGTGCAAGGTGTGAAGCCAGAAGTTGTCATTGCTGGGAACGCACAGCGGTGCATCCACTTGGGAAGACCAACAGGTGTAGAGTGCAGTGATCGCTTGATGTTTGTCCAAAGGACCCGAGAACTTCTGTCTACAGAGCACACCTGCAGGCATGTGTGTAGACTCATTCAGACGGACACATCTTGGAAGGACCCAAGATGCCCTGCAGTAGGCAAACAGATGCCCACACCACGGTCCATCCAGGTAATGGGCTGCCATTGAGCACTGGGTCCTCAAGCTGTGAGCAGACCTGGAGGATGCAACAGTGCGTAGTATTCAGTGAACAGGTGTGATCCCAGCTGTAGGACATTTAGGAAAAGGCAACGCTATGGAGCAGGTGAAAAGACCAGTAGTTGCCAGGGCAAGGCCCCAGGCAAGGATGAACAAGCAGAGCACAGGCTTTGGGGGCATTGAAGCTGCCTGGGGTGATGCTGTGCTGGAGGGTGCACGTCGTGAGACCCTTCTCGAAACCCACGGAGGTGTGGTGCCAAGGGTGCTGATGATAGCAAACCGGAAGTGAGAGCTCCCTCCTGGGAGGGTTTCAGAAGGGCCACTCCATGGGCCCCAGGATGGAGGGACTTGATTCTCACTGTTTCGCCCAATCTATTCAGGTATTTGGCTGATACAGAAAACAGATGGGTCTTGGGCAGTGCAACAAATTATTATAAACTTAACCGGCTGGTGACTCCAGTTGCAACAGCTGCTCTAGATGGGGCTTCCTAAGTCTGAGCAGATTCACACATCTTGTTCCTACCTTGCTGCAACTACTGATAAAGCAACTGCTCATTGATTTATTTATTTATTTTGGTAATATCTATTGGCAAAAAGCCACCAGAAGCCATTTGTTTTCAGCTGCCCAGCCTGGCAGCAGACTTTCACTGTCGTCCCTCAGGGATCCAGCCACGCTACAGCCCTGTGTCCTACCTAATTTAGTCTGCAGGAACTTCTCCCTGCAATAAGCTTTCACCCCGTTCTGTTTCACTGGTGATATTATATGGATTTGACCAGGTAAACAAGAGGGAGACCAACTGGAAAGACATTCGTACCCAGGAGGATGGAAAAGAAATGTGCCAAAACATCAGGTGACTTCCACCCCAATGAAATTTCTAGGGGTCCCATGCTCCCGACTCCTTTTCTAATGTAAAAGGAGGCACAGTGTGTAACACAGCCTTCCTGTGGCTGTGCCACTGTGGCCCATTTAATGAGTGATCCAGAAGCTGATAGCCTTAAGAAGGATCCAGAACAGCAGGAGGAACTTTAGCAGGTGCAAGACGCTGTCCAAAGTGCCCTGTCCCTTTAGCCATTGGCCCCCTAGGTCCAGGGTGTCCGAAGAGTCAGTGGTAGAGAGAGAAGCTGTTTGGAGCCTTGGTAGGCCCCATAGCACAGAGAACAGTGATATTTCTGTTTGTTTTAATTCTAGAACCTGAGCCTGAAGAGCCCAAAGATGTTTTAGAAGGTGAAAAAGTTGAACAAGTGGAAGAAGAGGTTAAGAAGGAGGAGGAGGAAGAAATGGAAATAAATGCAGAACAATCAACAATACCAGCCAATTTGGAACGACTTTGGTCTTTTTCTTGTGACCTAACCAAAGGTCTTAATGTGAGCAGTCTTGCCTGGAATAAGATGAATCCAGTAAGTTATCAAACATTTTAACAACAATTTTACCCATTTATCGCAATGATCAAAATGTTTTTTTCTTTTAACTAACTTTTCCCATTCATTTGACACATACGAGGGCTAGAATTTGAATCCTGGCTCCTTGCTTAAGAATTTCCCAAGAAGTCTTTGGTTTCAGTCTTTCCTTATCCTTGTCGTTACTATTAGCAGTCTTGGGGATTGAACCCAGGACCTCACCCATGTTAGGCAAGAGCCCTACCACTGAGCCATGCCCCAGCCCTCCTGCAATTATCAAATTTTATTTTTTGATAATGGGGATCGAACTCAGGACCTTGTGCTTGGGAGGCAGACAGCGACACCACTGAGCTAAATCCCTGGCCCTCAAATTTTAAAGTTGAAGTTTATTTTTCCTCTCAGGTAGAGGGCAAGGATTTAAACTGATCATAAACCCCATTTTAGAATGTCTCTAGAACAAGTTTATGTTTCCCAAAAGGAAATTCAAATAGTTACAAAACAGGGTTTTCTCCTTATATGCAAAAGCCTCACCATTTTATCTTAGAAATTGGACTTGGGATGTGGCACTTTCTGAATCCATGTCAGGTTCTATACTGAGAAGTGTATCAAAGTCATATCTGGTTGATTTATTTTACTGTATATCAACACTCACACGCCCAGATTTGGTTTCTCCTCAAAGTCATCTTGTTTGGAAGTGTATGCTTAATCTAGTGACCTTGTAAATGTGCGAAATAACTTTGAGATTCCTTAACATATATTATTCCAATAGCAGCAAACCCTTAAATAGCATTTAGTATGTCCCAAGCACTTTACCTGTGTTGATTCTACACAGTAACTATGAGTTACATGCACTGTTAACCCTCATTATGTTGGTGAAGAAAATGGAGCACAAAAAGGATGAATAACTTGTCTGTTACGACACCATGAGTTAGTGACAGCCAGGACACGCAGGCCTCTGGTACCAAGGTTCTTGCCCTTTGCTACTGACTGGCTGAAAGTCATTTTAAGGGAAGGAAGGTGGGTCATCAGGCCAGGCAGTGCTGTGTTTGCTTGTGAAAAGGAGATAATTAGAGAGTAAAAAAACACAGATATTCTCCTGAGATTTATAAACTGGCTTTGAAGGCATTTCCCAATTTTAATTCCAAAAATCTTTTGGGAAATGGCAGTTTCCTTGAATAAATATGTAGTATATTTTTTAAAGTGGTCAAAACTAATCTGTTTCTCAGAAATCACATTGTATTGTGTATATTTAAGAATTAGTCCTAGGATTTCATTGTCACATTTTATCAGGTACTGTATGCAAGTGTGGTAGCTGTCATGGTTATTAAAAAACAAAGACTGTAATCGTTTTTGTTGAAACCTGAATACACATTTTGTTAATTATTATTTTCAATAAATGTAATTTAGTACAGATTTGTCTTCATGAGACCATATTTAGAAATATGTTATAGGTAAGTGGGATTTGCTACATTAATAGCAATCTTCCATAAAGAGACATGAAACATTTTTAGAAACAATGTACAGTACTATCACTTTTTACTTAATATATTGCTGTTGGGATTAAATTAATTCATTTGAATAAAGCTAACTGAAAGCATATTGTTGGTGGCACATATAATGTTTATTAATTCATTCTACAAATATTTATTGCGCATTCTTTCTGCTGGCACTGCTAAGACACTGGAGATTCAGCAGTAATTAAATCATGGGCTGTACCATGTAATCATTTCTGATGTGCTTTGGTTAAGGAAAATAAACAGAGCCGTGGAAGCACCTTAGAGTCTCTTGAGTGCTTATTAGAGAGTAATGCCTTTGATTCTAGAGGGAAAGGCAATAGGTTTGTCACTGTTGGGTTGAAAGGATTGAGGGGAAGCCTGTGTTGAGAGAGAAGGAATTGTGGACAGGTGATGTTGGCCTGAAAGTACAGGGGTGATCGGAAAATACATCAAAGATAAATGTATTCTGATGCAAAAAGTAGCCCAAGTTTGGCCAGCCATTAAACTTTTGTCTATATGTATTCATACAGTGCTTTCTTTCTCTCTCTCTCTTTTTTTTTTTTTCCTTTTTTTGGTATGGGAATCGAACTCAGGACCTTGCACTTGCCAGGCAGGTGCAGTGCAGTGCCACTTAGCTAAGTTGCTGGTCCATTTTTGTTTGTTTGTTTTTTGAGACAGAGTCTCATTATGTAGTTCAGGCTGGCCTTGAACTCATCATGTAGCCCATACTGGCCTCAAACTTGTGGCAGTCTTCCTGCTTCAGCCTCCTGAGTGATGGAACTCAGGCAGGCATGCACTACCATGCCTGGCTCACATATACATTTCTTGAAACAGCCTGCTGTGTCAGTCAGCTCAGGCTGCTGTAACAAAGCACTTTAGGTTATGCAGTTTAAACAACCACTGTTTATTTTCTAACAGTCTTGGAGGTTGGGAAGTTTGAGGTGGTTCCCTCTGAAAGCTTCCTCTCAGTCCTCTTCCCATTCACTGTGTCCTTACAAAGTGGAGAGAGAGCTCTGTTGTCTCCTCCTCATCTTAAAAAAGTCACCAGTCTGATCTGATTAGGGTACCACCTCATGACCACTCTGAACCTGCGTGGATTCCCAAGTCCAAATGCAGTCATTTGGAGGTCAGGGCTTCTACATGAATTTTTGACGGTATATTCAACCCATAACACCTGCTCTTAATTTCAGTGTCTTTCATTTATATTTGAAATAATTAGGCCATCCTCATTAAGATATTAACCCATAAGATATTAAAATATAAAATAGATTCTTAGAAGATGACTTCATTGTGCAAAAGAACTTGTCAGCAGTTAGTTCTTTTGAGGTACCTAATCTTCTAAAAATGAGAAGTATTATTCTAGTTTAAGAAAATGGAGGTATAGAGTGAAAATTGTTGGTGTCTTAGTTATTTTTTCTTGTTGCTGAAACAAAATACCTGACATCCAAAGTTAAAGGAGGAGAGGTTCATTTGGCTCGCAGCGTGTAGAGGTTTCAGTCCACAGTGGGCTGCCTCCAAGGCAGGGAGATGCATCAGAGAGGTGAAACAGTCCGTGGCAGGCAGAAGGCAGCAAAGCAAGTAATAATAGCAGCTTCTTTCTGCCCCTTTTAGATGCTAATTAGGGCGCTAGGGATGTAGCTCAGTGGTTCTGCCACATGCCTTGCAAGCGCAAGATCCCAAGTTCGATCCCTGGTACCAAAAAAAGCCCTAGTATATTCTAACTATGCTGCCCTGCTTAGGGCTTATGGTGCCAAATCCATCAGTGGACTAATTTAGTAATTGTACACCCTTAATTCGAACATCACATTCTAGATCCAGCCACCTCTGAAAAGGCCCCACCTATGACCGCACGTGACTAGGAGGACCTCCAGACACAGCCATGACAGATGACATACTGATATTTTTTATTCTCAATGGAAACGTTCTATTAATGTTTGGGGTACAGTTTGTTAATAGCTATCATTATACATGTGCCAATATCTGCGCTGTCTTCTCTTATTTTAAATTTATTATTCTGGTTTCCAGGATCTTCTGGCTGTTGGGTATGGACACTTTGGATTTAAGGAGCAAAAAAGAGGATTGGCTTGCTGCTGGTCAATAAAGAATCCCATGGTAAGCTAAATGGGAGTAAGAACCGTTTGTATTTAGTTAAATATTGACAAAATTCTCATTAAATATTTAGTTGTATGTGATAATTAAACAAGTGCCAGGGGATTTTAAAATTTTTCTTCTTTATTTGGTTTGGTTTAAATCCACAGCCATTAACATTTGTTCTTGTTGACATAAGAGGAAAAGAATTTATTTATGAATTCACTCAGTAAATATTTATAGATCGTGCACTTACGTGCTGCTGGGTCCGAAAGCGCAGAATTGAACCACTGTGAAGAACAGCTAATTATAAAGAAGTACTCTGCAAGTGAAAATCTTTTAGAAATTAGATATTTCTTTTTATACTTGGTTGTTTCTTAATATGGGGTATGATCAACATTTATGGTGAATGCTTAAACTTTTAAAAATTGTTACAGTAAAAGATACATCACCATTAATCACCCTCAGAATCTTCTGCCTCTCTTTGAACACACTCATCCCGTAGTCCTGGCCGCTTCCTGCAGCAACTCTGGAGTCGTCCTCTCTCCTGAGGGTCTTTAGTTGCGCTGTCCTGATCACCTTGAAGTCCTGAATTGACTCAGAATGTTTCCTTTTCATGTTCCCTTTGACTTGGGGAAGAGCTGGAAGTTGCATGGCGACAGGTCTGGTGAACAAGGTGGGTGCGGTCATGCTGTGATGTCTTTGTGGCCTGCTTCTGCTGGAGGGTGCTCGGCAGCAGCGTTTGTGCGTTTTTGATCGCGCCTCCTAAGGACACTCAGGAAAGAGGACTCCAGAGCTGCTGCAGAAAGTGGCAAGAAGGAAGGGATGTGTTCAAAGTGAGCGGAAGGATTTGGGGGGGATCAGGGCAATGTGTCTTTTACTGCAATACAATTTTAAAGGTTAAGTTCATCGTGTATTTTCAAGCACACCTCATGTATGAGTAGCTCTTTACTGCCTGATAACTCATTTGATCTGAGACAGGTTAATATGACCTTCTTAATGTCATGAATTTTGCAAATAGAGTAAGTATTGATGTAATTTTTTTTTTTTAATTAAATAGCCGTAGTCAGTCTGTTACTTTAAAGCTTTCTATTTAGTTTTAAGTCAAAACAGAAATGTGACATGGGAAACTTAGGGAAGGGCCAGAAGATCATATAAAAGTGAGGTAAGTTTTTATAAATAGCTCATCTGTCAGGGAACAGGGTTGATACAGCTTTAAAAAAAGGAACAAGTTATTCTGAATGTGTAAGGGTGAACATAAAATTCACCATTGGTAGCTTGTCTTCTTTTCTACAGAGGTGGTTAGAAAAAGAAAGGATTTAGCAAGGTTTGGTGGCACTGTAGAACAGAGTAACTTAGAGAGTTATTGTTGTCCAGAAAGAATTAGATCAGGTGAAACAGACACCGGAGCACAGGAGTGTCTGCCACATAGATGCTGTGCTTGCAGCCTTTTCTTTCCCTAAGAAGTGAGTTATGCAATAGTCATCCTAGTCCTGCTGAACAACTGCAGATAATATTGCAGCTGCCCACATTGTACTTCTTAAAGCCACTGAGCTGACTTCTAAGGAAAGGCTAATTGCGGCTTTGTTTCCACTGATACCAGAAGTTGCTAGGAAGATGGGAGTCACTGAACCTAGACGACTCTTCATCCCCAGGACCACCAGGGAAGCCTCAGCCGTGGCAGTGTCCTGCCTTGCTGCGGGTGACAGAAACGAGTTCATGTGTGATATAACTGTGTTTTGTGCAGTGGCCGGAGCGTGTCTACCCGAGTCCCCATGGAGTCACCGCCGTGGACTTCTCCATAGGGGCGCCTAACTTGCTAGCGGTTGGCTATTACAATGGCACTGTCGCGATTTACAATGTGCAGAGCAGCAGTAACATTCCGGTCCTGGATAGCAGGTGCGAACCTCATAAACATAGAGCACAGGCTTTTCTCGGAGATTCGCCCTAACTTTATTTAGGTGTAAGTGCGTATCTGTCTTCCTGAGAGGGACACCATTACTCTTAAACATTTAATACTTTTTCATATTGTTTCTCTAGATGAAACGCTCTGCCACAATGATCTCTTTCATTTTTCTTAATTGTTTGGAATTGAACCCAGGGCCTTCACATTGAGCCATGTCCACAGCTCCACAGCGTGCTCTCTTTCTTTCTTTCCTCCCTCCCTTTTCTTCCTTCTTTCTTTTCCTTTCTTCCTCCTTTCTTTCCTCCCTCCCCCCCTTTTCTTTGTCCCCCCCCTCTCATATTTTTATGTTTTTGGAGCCAGGATCTCATGGAGGGCTGGGCTTAGACTTGCAGTCTTCCTGCCTCAGCCTGTCAGTCCTGGATGACAGGCGTGTGCCTCATGCCTGGCTCCCTTTCTCTTCTCTGCTTATCTGACTCACAAACTTCTTTTGGCTTGTTTCTTTTCTTTTGTTTTTTGGTACCAGGAATCGAACTCATGACCTTGCATTTGCAAGGCAGGCACAATGCCGCTGAGCTAAATCCCCGGCCCCAACTTCCTTTGGCTCGACAGTTTGGGTGATATTTAAACTTGCTTTGGTGCTGTCTCCCGAGGACACCACCCTTTCTCTTGTGCAGCCTCTCTGTGTGTCTTCCTCGTTGCGTGTGTCACGTGGAATGTCACTTATTTGCAGACAGACAGATCTTCCTGAGCAGAAATGTAAGCTTGTGAGAGCTATGTTGATCGCACCTCTGTCGTCTCAGTGGGTCACGGTATCAGACATGCAGCCGCACCACCGTGAATGTTTCCTTAACGGCAAGCGGATGAGTGGGCAATATTGAGAGAAACAAAGTGACAGGTGAAAAGGCATCACATAGGTACCTTTTGTACTAGACACCGATGGCACTGGGGCTACGCTGAGCTGATATATCAGTGTTCGAATAAACTCAGACTTGGAAATAGCCACTAAGGCAGAAACTCAAACTTAATTTTGAAATCATTTGCAGTGTTGTAAGGATGGGCCTTTGTGTTTGTTTCTAGGAGGAGCGACCACAAATTTGTACCCAATATTGAAAGACAGCTATAACTTTTTTTTAAAAAGTTCAGAACTATTGCTTTGGAAGACTTGTATTAAAAAACTAAGAATTAGCACTAGGGATGGAGTACCCTATTAATTTGATAGGAAAGGAGTCAATATTCTGAGAATAGATTTTAATTTTTTTAAAAAAAATTTAATGAATCGGACAGAATCTCAATATAGTAGGCAATCCTTAAACACAGCAAGAAGAATTGTTTTCTCTAACCAGATTCAAGTGACTAATTGATTTAAGCTGTGAAAAAATTATAAAAATGAAGATACTTTTATTCAGTGTGTCTAAAAGTAAATAAAAGTCAATTTACAAAACTAAGCTAAGGAAGAATGAATGCACAGAGTGGTAAACACAGATCTTGAGAAGAAAATACTTGCTTCTGTCTTCCTGTTAAGGTAGCTAATATACTTATAGTCCAGTAAAATTTTCCTTCTGGAAGAATATGCAAAAGCCATGGTGAATGTTATGACAAAATCTGTTTTTCAAGATTCTTAAAATCTAGTGTGAACAATAAAAGCGCCGTTCTATAAATACATTATGATTCTCTAGGGTGCTGTGTTTATCACTTATATGTCAAGGCCTCTAAAAATTATCAGCTCATTCTGTAATCCGCGTTCTTCCCTGCTTTAGTGAATCACCTCAAAAGCATTTGGGACCTGTGTGGCAACTGCAGTGGACAGAACAAGATCGAGGAACAATGGGCGATGACAAAAGAGAATTCCTAGTGTCCATATCAGCAGACGGAAGAATCTCCAAATGGGTTATACGGAAAGGACTGGACTGCCACGGTGAGAGGGTGACAGAGGAAGGGTGGGCAGGGGAGGAGAGAGATGTTTCTCTTGCTATGCATTGAATTATCCCCCCCATGAGCCATGTGTGAATGGTAATGTATTTATTTGGCTTGGCCAATAAGAAACAAACCTGTGTTTAGTTCTTTTAGTTTTGTTTTTTGCTAATTTTAACCCAGTTACATGCAAAAGATGGCAAAAATCATAGCATTATTTGCACAAGAGACACACATGGTACTCGTACTCTTTTATGTGGTAAATAGCAAGATAGATTTCTTTCCTTAAAGATATGATGCGACTAAAACGAACTACAGCTGGCAGCAGCAAGAAAGTGGGGGACAAGGACCAGAAAGGAGAAGCCTTAATATCGCGACAGGCTCCTGGCATGTGTTTCGCTTTTCACCCCAAGGTAAATTGTTTCACCCCATTATTTATTACCCTCTATAGCAGTGTGCAACAGTTAAAGTGTAGGCAGGTATAAAACACGACACAGTGTTAGCAGGGTGGTCTGTGCTGTCTCTGTACAAGAAAGGCCAGACAGAGCTGTGGTTGCTGACCTAAGGCGGAACGGCGTGGTCCAGTTGACCATACTCCGCGCTCCCTCTCCTTCTCCAGGTAGAGGAGAGGTGTGTGCCTCGGAAGAGCTGTGGAAAGGTTCTCTCTGCAACTGCATACGTAACCGCAGTGCCCCTCCGTGCCCGTCCCGGCCACGCCACTGCTCTGTTCTACTTCATGATACACAAGGCACCACCTCACAATGTCAGCCTGGAGGGACACCCCTTGAGCACACGTGTGACGAACTGCAGTCAGAAGAGAGCACAGTTAGCCAAGTGTCTCCGTGTTTGATTGTTTTTACCTGAGGTACTTTGGAATCTGGAAATTCAGACACTGTGACGGACATCTAAGAAACCAAACCCATGTTTTTTGTTCCATCATCTTTTATGTAAGATGATGGCCCATCTGTTTGTGCAAACAAAAACTCGAGCTGCTTCTCTGTTCTACCCTGTTATCCAAACTACATTTAAACCTTCTCGTCCTTTCTGGTCCAAGCACGCCCCTGCCAATAGAGTTCAGGCCTCCATCAGTTTCCACTTTGGCTGCTGTAGCTGTTGCCTGGCTGCCTTCATTCTCAAGTCCTGCAATGCATTTCATTTAGCAAGGTGGATTACTCTACAGTGATCGTTCTCTGGAAGGGCAAGCAGAGGGGACGTTCCTTGGCGTCTGGTGGTATTTTTGGCTCTCGCAGTCGTGGTAGGTAAGGGTGAAGTTGGAGAAGCACTGCTGGACCTGGTGGGCAGAGGCTAGCGTGAGACTAAACATCCCACAAAATACCAGAAGCCTCTGCTGTCCTGCTACCTACCCACCCAAAATGGCAATAGTACTCGGGTGAAAAACTAGTATGCTGTCTTCAGTTGTCCTTGGTATAAGGAATTTGGATGATCGTGTCATCTGTAAATAAAGACAATTTTATTTCTTTGCTAATCTGATTGCCTTTGCTTTCTTGCATGATTAAACTCGTTGGAACCTCCAGTACGATGGTGAATAGAGACAAGGAGAGCATTTTTCAATGCTGGTGTATACTGAGCAGTGTGCCTCAGGTTTTAATGTGCACACAGACCACTCAGGAGCACTGCTGAGGTGCGGGTCCCACTCTGCAGTGCTCCTGAGTGGTGCTGGTGCTGCGGTGTGGCCACCATTCCAACAAAGGAATTATTGTAAAATTATAACAGAAGGAAAAAGATAATTGACAACCATATTCGAGATAGTAGTCTTGTTTTGGCTTCTGAATTGCTTTTGACAGATCCAGAATTGTTGGGTCTTCTGTCTAGCTCGCTTACTAATAATCACAAGCCAGTGAATTTCTGTTTCTTGTGTTATAGGACACAAATATCTATTTGACTGGCACAGAAGAAGGTCATATTCACAAATGTTCTTGTTCATATAATGAACAATACTTAGAAACCTATAGAGGACACAAGGTTAGTTTAATCATGGTAGGTATGGACAATTTATCTTATAGAGTTTCTGAAAAAATAGTATATCAATTTCTTTTTATAAGTTATGGAAGTCATATTTTTTGTTTCTAAAAGATTTTGCTTATAATACCATGCTGATCCTGAAGTAAAATCTCTCTTGCATGTCTAGTCTGTGTAACTTTTTGTGATTCTTCCATCTAAGTTTTTTCATTTTATCCCTCACTTTTTTTTCTTAATACTATTTATTAACTTTTTGAGAACATTAATATGTAGTAAAATTTAGCAACTATTATAACAATTTTCTTTTCTTTTTTTCTTTTTTTCTTTTTTGGTACCAGCGATCGAACTGAGGACCTTGTGCCTACAAGGCAGGCAACGAAACCACTGAGCTAAATCCTTGGCCTGCAGCTGCATTTTTGTGTTTTTACATGGAGTAGTTAAGGGAAGAGACAATTTATGACCTTATGCTCCACTAATAGTACCCATGCAATAATGGCAGTGTATAAATCTAGAAATCCTCATATTTTTAATTTGCTGGTCAAGGCTAAAGATACATGATGCTAACTATCATTCACATACTTTATTTTTTGGATTTCTGATTTCTAGGGCCCAGTGTATAAAGTGACATGGAACCCATTTTGTCCTGACGTTTTCTTAAGCTGTTCGGCAGACTGGGGAGTCATGATATGGCAACAGGAGAATCTCCAGCCCTTTCTGAGTTTTTACCCTACGACTCATGTTGTTTACGACGTCGCCTGGTCCCCAAAGTCATCCTATATATTTGCGGCTGCAAATGAGAGCAGAGTGGAGATTTGGGACCTCCACATCAGCACGTAAGCGTGAAGTGTGAGTGTTTTCTGGGATGTTTCCAGTAGAAGCACTTCAAACTAAGTGATGTGTGAACATCCATTAGAGAGTACGGTAGTGACTTGAAAGCCAGTAACTAGCTTACTCCATGAGTCTTTCATGAGTAAGGATATATTCCAGGATGCTGTGTTAACATTAATTACTTACACCATACATAGTCTTAGAAACAGCTGAATGAAAAGTTTGCCTGAATTGTGTCTTCAAACACAGGCTATCATAAGCAACTTGAATTCTTGTTCATTGCCCAGTACGTAAAGGAATACAGAGAGGAATGATTACATCTCTAATGCTACAGTAAGATTCTCTCCAATAAGATAAATTAGCAGACAAAATTATTATGTTTGCAATATTTACTTTTTCTCTTACTTTATTTCAAAATATATGCAAAGAAGCACTTCAGATTTTTTTATTGAAGATGTTCCACGAAAGTTAGCAGGACTCATCTAAATCCATCTATTCCAATATGAAAAGTTATACAATATTGAAATAAAATGTTAATGATTCTACTGCTATTGGGAAATATCACAAATCTTTATGCTAGTTATTAGCAAAAGAAACTAGCAAGAAAACACATTTCTGTTTAAAATAAGAATTCAGTGGTTGTCTTATTAGTGATAATTTTCTTTACTTGAAGTTGTTAATTCAGCAACTTAAAAGTTTTTATCATAGTATGTCCCTTAAAACAGTATCAACCAAAAATCAAGGACTGTTTTCTTTTGTGTAGGAGGGGACTGATGTCAACAGTGGCTATTTAAATAATCCAACCTCTGATGTTAATCTTTCTGGTAAAACCGTACTTCCCGGGAGACTTCTTTATAAGTACGAAAAGATGCTACTTTTGTTCTTTTTTGAGGGCGTAGGTAGATTGTTTTGGATGACTAAAAGTAGGGGGAAAAACATGTTAAAAATGTCATTTTATGGTCCAGAGGTTCATTTGGCTGAAGACATACTGCTGTTAGACGACAGTTGTTTAACAACTTGTATTACTCAGGTTATTGAGGGGAAACAGAGCCGATAGGGTGAACGTGTGTCCCATCTCATGGCTGACACCACCTTTGTCTTGCTCTCCACCCTGAGCTACCTCATTCTGCAGGCTGAAGGCCAGGGTTTTCCCTTAAGACCTTCACCTAGTTGGGTGAGAACCACCCACATTACAGAGGCGGTCACTTTCATTCCATTTCTACCAGTCAAAATGCTAGCCATGCCTTTAGAGCAGAGAGTAATATGTTGAGGTGTTTGACCAACGGGCAGGCACTGTAGCCCAGCCGGGTTCTCAAAAAAATTCGATCTGTGTTCATGTCTCACTTGCGAATTACTTTTAGTTTACCTGGTTGAAACTGGCTCATTGAAGAAACGGAAGTTTTTGATGAAGGAGTGAGAAAGTTATTTTAAGTTTGGAAACAGAGGCCTTTGGTTTTGTTACATGATAAAGTCAAACTTTTCTTAGTCTGAACATTTTGAAAAGACCATTTTAGCAGGGCCCCAGACCTTCAATCCCAGCTACTCAGGAGACTGAGGCAGGAGGGTGACACGTTTCCAGGCCAGCTGGGGTTGCTTAGTGACTTAGTGAGACTCTGCCTCTAAATGTAACAGTAATAGTAATAATAATTATTATTATAAAAAGAATGGCCTGGATTGTGGTGCAGCCCTTACTGGCCTCTCTAGTACAAAAAGAAAAGTGCAAAGCCCTGTTAAAACTGAATTTATACATAAACATTTCACTGCAGTCTGGACCCTCTGATCGTAAATGTTGCAAACCCTGGGATCAAGTTTACAACTGTTCTCTTCGCCAAGCACACAGACTGCCTTCTGGTGGGAGATAGTGACGGACAAGTGGCTGTGTACGAGCTGAGAAATATGCCTTCTGCTCCAGATTCCGGCCAGGTAAGAGTCAGACAGAGAAAGTGTGTTGTTTATCAGGATGGTGCCACACGCTTGTAATCCCAGATACTCGGAAGGCTGAGGCAGGATTGTGAGTTTGAGGCCAACCTGAGCAACTTAGTAAGACTGCCCACCCCCATCTATTTTATGAGTCCATTCAGTTGTAATTTTGTGGCATTCAGTAGGTGTGTGTTTCTTAAGCCTCACAAATGTGGTATAATGAAAGAAAATAAGCTCCAAGAGTTGCTACCCATTAGGCAATGTACCTACAAGGTTTATTTTCTGTCAGCCTCACTTCCTTGATTTGGGAAAGAAATAATGTTCTTGAGGATAAGAATTATGAAAGTTGTGTGGAAGAGCTTAAAATTGTGCCTAGGTACTGAGCATGGTGACTCACACCTATAATCCCAGCTACTCAGTTAAGGCAGGAGGATGGCAGGTTCAAGGCCAGCCCGGGCAACGTGGCTAGGTCCAGTCTCCAAAAGAAAGTGCCTCATATGAATTTGGGACTTATTAATTGCTAAATGTAGCCAAAGAACTTCTTACAGGAAATAACCTTATTTTTAAGATAATTTCGTGTTCCTGATACAGGTATTTGTTTCTTTTGGTTTAGCATTATCCTATTTGCTACTCTGACCTTTATAAAGATGAAAATTCTGTTGCCAGCCTTGACAAGCAACTCACTATAATTATTAGATGCTCATTATTTTTATAGTAGCTTCTCAATTTTTTGGTCTTTTTTAGAATATTTAAACTGTCACTGCAAATAGGAATCTGGTAAATATTACCACAAAATCAGAAAACATGTTTAAAATGTTAAAGAATATACAAAAAACAATAAGGAAAAGACAGAAACTCTAACAGAAGAGTGGGCAATGGTCAGAAAAAAGCCATTCACAAAAAATGACTAGTAAAAATATTTTATAATTCAACCTCATTAATTAAAGGGCCTTAAATAAAAATTTAATGTAGTGTTTTTATATGTCCAGTTAGCCAGCTTTACTTGAAAAAAAAAATGCCTGGGCCTACCTGGGCACAATTAGTAAACTAAGTTCTCTCTTACCCATGGCTGGCCTAGAGATCAGTGTGACTTCTTTGGAAGTAACTGACAATGGAGCTAACGTTGTTAGAAATGCTCAGAAGTGTTGCTTCCCTGAACCTCGCACTCCACTTTTGTGACTCTAACCTATCTACACAGCCCTAAACACAAACAAGGAATTGATGATAGCATTATTTGTGACAGGATGAAGAAAGCACAGGAAAAGGGACAACCTGACTGCCAGAGAGGGACTCCTGGGCGGGGGAGGTGGGCAGCCGATTACTTCCGGGTCTCTGTGGCAGGGCGAGCTCTCCCCAGCGGTGCAGACTTCAAATACTAAATAAGTCCGTGAACTGCTTGGGACTCCCTCTAGCATCATCTGCTCAGATCCCTGGGCCATGTTCCTTGCCCATATGTCATTTTCTAGTGAAGACTCATGCTCTTCCCTCACCTATCACCGCTTAGTTGCCTTTGAATATACTAGACCCTTATTTTGTATTTTGTTAATTCACCATGTCTCACAATAGAATGGAAACTCCAGGAGAGCAGTGATTTTTGTCTTTTATGCTGGGCTATAGTCCCGTGGGCTAGTTTGGCTTATAAACTGGAAAAGTCCCTGGCATTTTAACAAAATGGTTAAGTGGACATTTTGGCTGATAAAGAATTGCATGAGGGCCGGGGATTTAGCTCAGTGGTTCCATCACTTGCCTCCCAAGCATAAGGTCCTTAGTTCATCCCTGGTATCCACGCGCCACCGCCAAAAAAAAAAAAAAAAAAAAA